TGTGGGAGGACCGGCACTGGCGGAAAACTCAGCATGCCACCAAAACGTGGCGTGTGTTGCCGAAAGGGGCCTTACGGTGTTTGAGACAAGAATGTAGCTGCACCTTCCCGTTTCGTAGCTACACACACACCGACAGGCAGCTCAGCTCAGCGGCCTGCGAGGCCTTCAGCCAGCTACACGGCTGAGCTCCCTCCAGGGTCCTTCTCGGTTATGCCCTGCAGACCTCCAGCCCACGTTGGCCCTGCCCCTGGACGCTGCTGTCCACAGCTTTGCAACAATGGTAGTTTCTCTGCCGTCCGCATGGTCTGGTTTACTCCACATGGAGCTCAGGGCACAAGTGGATGAAATGTCCGGTCAGGTCAGTGCCTCTCAGTCCGTGTTCAGTCTGAGCAAGCAGCCCCGGTGTCTGAACTCAGATTCGGAGATCACGGAAGAACAGAGCAGGAAGGCTAAACTCTTCATTCTGGTCCCTGAGAGCCACGCTGACTGGTTAAATCCAGAATATTACAAAACCACTGCATAGCCAGAGAGAATTAGATTAGACAACTGAAATTCATTTCTAAGCCCAAGCTCCTTAGACCGTGAGTGTGAGCCTTTTAGGATTGAAGGGAAATTCTCGCTTAAAAGTAAACATATAAAATCCATTTAACAGCTACAATGCCAGTAGCTAAGTTCTAGCAACGGTGAGTGTGGGATTTGGTTTCTGTTTTTTCCTTTTGGAGTCACGGCCCGGTGCACAGCAGCACTTCTGTGACCACACGGCGAGCCCGGCAGAGCACCTCCCAGGGACCCGGGGCTGTGCGGTCCCCACCTTAGAGACAGCATCGCCCAGCCGGAGAGAACAGACAAGCAAAGAGAGGACAATTCAGAGAAAACGGAGGCGGTCGCTCTGTGGCGCCGAACACTCTAGAACGTTCGTCCACGGCAGCAGAAGCGTGGTCCAGCTGCCCAGAGCAGGCCTCCCGGGGAGGGTTAGGACGAGGACAGGGAGGCAGGCCATGGCAGCCTTGTCAAGACGGCAGAGGCCCAAGGACATGGAGGAGGGCACAGGTGCCGGGGTGTGTCGTGGAGCAAAGGGAAGAGTGGGCGGACAGGCTTGTCCTGGGCGCGTGAGAAAGGGGTCGCTGAGGGCCTGAATTAGGTGCCTTGTACTGGGACCTTTCGCAGTTCGCTCTGGCCACTGCGTGTCCCGTGGAATCCCATGAGAGAGCGAGGAGATGGTTAGTGGTGATGATGTAGCAAACGCCAGGACAAGGTGGCAGAAGAAAAGGGAGGAGGTGGTTGGAGGCATCTCATGCGAAGTCATCCAAAGGAAGGAGCTGCAGGACTCGGGACCCCCGGCTGCCGGGGATGAAGTCAGTGGGGAGCAGCGGACGCACGGGGATAAATGGTGCCATGGGGACCTTCGGCTGGAGCCTCCCTCGGGCCCAGACAGCTGTGAGTGTCTGTAAATAGGAAACACCGTCCCCCAACATCACCATGCCGCTTGGTGCATGTCTCTGTGCTCCAGAGCCCACTCTCGAGTGAGTGACACCTCCTCTCTTTCTCAGAGATGCTCCGGAAGGCCAGTCTGTGATTTGAACATCACCACCTTCAAAGGGCCGGGACATTCCCCACACCAGTTTTCTGGGGCTCCTTCTAGCATTAGATTGAGGTGGGGTTCTTTTTAAAGCAGGTTTCTTTCCAATTCCTGTAGAATTTGAACAATAATAGAGTCTATTGTAAGGGCCTGTTCTGGTAGAATGAGATCCACGCTCACAAATTGCGCACTGCATGCTCCGCTCCACAGTTACCGTCTGAATGAGAACTCGGCATTGGGCTTGAGTTTGACTAAAGCTGATATTAATTGACAAATTAAGACTGCGCTTGTCCCCACCAAAAATGCCACACATCCACAGACCCGACTTCTCCCCATACTCATTACGTGCTGGGAGAAGCTCCTCTCGGGACACAGATGCCCTCTGTGCCTCACAAATAACTGTATTCAGGGACACAAAGCCCAACTGTTGTGAAAATATTAGTATTCAGATGCGCCTGTGTTTTGTTAATGCATTTAATCATGTACAATGTGGCCATTGCTTTCCTTTCACATTTGCGTTAATTTATATTAGCCACAGAATATAAAGCACAACTAGAAAATCAGACTATTTCTCTTGCAACCTATATGTTAGCATTGCATTCCTGCAAAAATCCACAGCCCTATGCTGCCCCGGTGCTCTTCATGTTGCTTTTTTATACTGCTACGATGCAGAGGCATTTAATAGATACGTTAGAAATATCAGGTTCAAATGTGGCTGAATTAGTCAGTGGTCATATAAGATGCTCCCTATTCTAAGTGACAGATTTCTAAGGCAGGTAGCATGGCTGGCACCAGGCACAGCTGAACACATGATGACACTACGCACTGTCTCAGGAGTGTGAATGAGGGCAAACCTTTATGCCGTATGTTGGGAGTAAGTTACTCTGCTTTGGAAAGGCAGGTCAGTATATTGACTGCGTGATGAGTGTCATTCATGCGACAGCCTTTTGACTCCTATGATTTTGTTGAAAGAGCGTAGAATCATTTGCCTTTTGTTATTTATGTATTTGTGGAAGTGTATGTTGTAGAGATTCAAAACTCCACAAATACATATAACAAAAGGAAAACAACCCCGCCTCACCTCTGTGTGCAATCAGCCCTCAGATCAGTCACCTTCCAGCAGCCCCCAGGGCACGACCCTGGCCCCATTTCTCCCGTGGACGGCAGCCCCTCCCACCTGTGTTCCCCTGCTCCTGTGCTGGCCTACAGACCAAGCCGTCTGCCACCTTGAAGTCCACTCCTGCCTTGAAGTTCCCTTGGTGGTCTCTGGTTGCTCTTCAGAGAAAAGGCCAGTTCCTTGCCTCAAAGCCCTGCTCACTCCGGCCCCGCACCCCGAGCACCTTCTCCACCTCTCCTTCTCCCTCCACCATCCTCCACCTCTCCTTCTCCCTCCACCATCCTCCACCTCGCCTCTGCCCTCCACCATCCTCCACCTCTCCTTCTCCCACCACCATCTTCCACCTCTCCTTCTCCCACCACCATCCTCCACCTCGCTTCTCCCCTCCACCATCCTCCACCTTGCTTCTCCTCTCCACCATCCTCCACCTCTCCTTCTCCCACCACCATCCTCCACCTCGCTTCTCCCCTCCACCATCCTCCCACTCACCTGCTCCCTCTCACCTCAGGCCTTGCACCAGCTTCCTCAGGCTCCCCGCCTTTCTGCCTCTCCCATGTGAACACACCAACTTTCTTCCTGCCCAGGCCTCCTGTTGGGTGTCCTTCCCTCTGCAGAAGCACCCCAGCCCCCCAAGTCCTCACATGGCCGCTCTCTCATTTCAACCCAATGTTTCCTCGAGGGGCCTTCCTAACCCCCCTTACCTGTTCTGTTTTCTTTTGTGTCATTACTTGATATGAAATTACGCATTGTATACATCGTGGCCATCCCGCAAGTTACCATGAACTAGGAGACTTAAATCAGCAGGAGTTTCTTCTCTCACACTCTGGGGGCTGGAGGTCTGGCATCAAGGTGTCGGCAGGGCCGTGCTCTCCCTGGGCTCCGGGGAGGGTCTGTTCCATGTCTCCTACCTCTTGGTGTTCCTGGCAACTCTTGGTGTCCTTTGTCTTCTAGACACATCCCTCCAGTCCTTGCTTCCCTCGTCACATGACCTCTTCCCTGAGTAGCCGTGTCCTAATCCTCCCCTTCTTCTAAGGACACCAGTCATAGGGTCAGGCCCACCCTACTCCAGTACAACTTCATCGTAACTTGGCTGTACCTACAAAAGACTTTATTTCCAAATATGGTCACATTCATAGGTACAGGGGTTAGGACGTGGACATGCCATTGTAGGGGACAGTATTCAACTCGTAACATTCATTTTCACCTATGTTCATGAGACATGGACCACACCTCGTCCGTCTAGAACAATACTTCACACTGTTAAGTACTCAGTAAGTAATGGGTGGATGGCGAGTGGGTGAATGGTTAGGTAGATGGATGGATGGGTGGGTGGATGGGTGGATAGATGGATGGGTGGATAGATGGATGGGTGGCTGGATGGGTGGGTGGATGGGTGGCTGTACAGATGAATGGATGGATGGATGCTGTTGGATAAATGTCAGTGAACAGGTTGGTTAGATGGATGGATGGGATTATAGGAAACTAGGAGTAAACCCACATTTTCCATAGATAAATAATAAAGTTTGGAGAGGAGACTAACTAAATGATGTTCATTTAAACCCAACATGTAACTTGAAAGCAAAATGAATGTATTGCCATTCTTGAGAGAAATGCTTTATTTTTTGTAAAAAGCTATGAGATGGTGGTATATTTATGAAATATCCCATTCCTACTTCAAATTTTCTAATTGTAGCTGCTTACAGGGGAGAAGCCAAATCAAAATGTCCTGAATAAGCAGTTCTCCAATGCAAGAGGCCTCTTGTGGAATCTGGAAACTAAAGAATTCTAAATGCCCCATTTCTTTAAGGCATGATTTGCAAAAAGAGATGGGAAGTTCCCTTTTTACCAAGAATACTAAAAATACCTTTCGTCAAATAAATGCTCCCAAAAGGTTTAGCTTGTTCACCAGAGGCTCTTTAGATGATAAGTGCCCCAAGAAGTGCCAGCAGTCCTGGATTCTCCAGAGGCAGTAACGGCAGCTCCCAAGGGGACATGCTGATGCGTGTGCTGTGCTGGCTCAGCAGGCCACTTGAGCAGGAAGCCCTGGCGGCTTTCTCTGGGGTGCCAAATCTCGAGTAACTGAGGCAGTTCCCAGAGCCTCTGAAACACAGAGCTGCAACTAGGCTGCGCAGTCCAGGTTGGTTTCTGCCAAAGGCGGTCTGGAGCTGCCATGTAGCTTTATGGCACTGCGCACATTCTGTGGATTTTGCAGGAGACAACCAGTCCACTAGCCCTGGAAGAAAGCAGCATTGTCCCGCACTCTGCTTTGCACAGCCCGTATTCATATCTCACTGTTGTTTGCAGGAGAGGCAGATGTGGACCAGAACAATGGGAGCCCCTCTCAGGACACAGCGGTGACAGACTCCAAGCGCACAGCGGACCCAAAGAATGCCTGGCAGGATGCCAACCCAGCTGACCCAGGGGGCCGCCCCCACTTGATCCGCCTCTTTTCCCGAGATGCCCCGGGGAGGGAGGACAACACCTTCAAAGACAGGCCCTCGGAGTCAGACGAGCTTCAGACGATCCAAGAGGACAGTGCAGCCGCTCCCGAGGGCCTAGATGTGATGGCGTCACAGAAGAGACCCTCCCAGAGGCACGGATCAAAGTACCTGGCCTCAGCAAGCACCATGGATCACGCCAGGCATGGCTTCCTCCCGAGGCACAGAGACACGGGCATCCTCGACTCCTTGGGGCGCTTCTTTGGCGGTGACAGGGGTGTGCCCAAGCGGGGCTCAGGCAAGGTGAGCGCTGAGGAGTAGAGGAGCACCCAAAGGTGTGCCCGCTTTAGTGTAAATGGAAAAGGAAGGAAAATCAACAGGTGAACTAAGCCGTTAGAGGAGGTGCTGGCGCAGCCTCTTAGCTGTCTAGGGTGTTGTCCTTGCCAGAAATGCTTGCGGGCCGTGGGAGGGGTCCTGGGTTGCTGCTTAGAATATTTCCACTTAACCCACCCTGTTTCTCCTCCTCACAAGGGATGGCAGTCAGGATGTGGCTCAGGAATGCAAGAGCGTTCTGAATCTGCATCTCGAGGGTGCTGTGGGTACGGGCTTTGCAGAAAGAGCACTGTCGTCTCGGGTCTTTTCTGTCTTATGTTTGGGGGCTTTATGGCTGATTTTCCTTCTGCTGCCCACGCTTTTGGGTTCAACATTGGGTTATGCTAGTTTTTTCTCGGACTCAGTGCTGCTAGCTTCACGTCGCTTTGCAACCAGAAGGCGACTGAGAACTTCTGAACAAACTCGAAACTTCAGTTCGCCTTGAGCGAAGTGTCTGTTTTGTCTGAGTTGTTAGAGGCGGAGGGTGGAGGGCCAAGGAGTGTGTCTGTGAATGAAAACCGTATTGTTTGTTATTCCATTAATTTGAATGTAGAATCCGTGAAGTTTCATTATTTAAATGTTCTGTAGCTAAAAATATATCACAAGAAAAATCGCTCCTATTGTGGTCCCGTTTCTGACAGTGGCTTCTGGAGTCGATGGTGAATCGGGCATCTGTGGCTGATGTTTCATTAAAGAACCAGAGCCCATGTGACATTCCCATAGCAAATACATGGCATGTCACGTGACTTCTTAGAGTGCTGGATAGCTGGGTAATTTTGGAAGGAGAGCGGTTTTTCAAAACAGGCCCCGGTTTACTGGGTGTGCTCACGAAACACGTAAGACACAGCTGTTCTTCCAGCTGCATACTGGGCTTATTGGGAAAGGCCTCCGGGAATGTAAGAGGCTTTGGGGTCAAGTGTGGAGCAGAGGGCCCGCATCATGTGAGACAACATCACAAAACTCTGGGACAACCTGGAATTAAGGATATTTACAGTTTGCTTTGGTCTCTAACAATAATTCTTAAAATTAGTGAAGATGATGAAATTGTTGAAGATAAACAGAAATGTCGGGTTTGCCTTTTGTGGGGGTGTCCGCGCACTGAGGCTTCAGGCGCTGGCAATGGCTCCAGCATCTGCTCCGAGTTGAGGTCCCTCCTGTGACAGTTGTCAGGACTTTTGTGAATAACACACAATACATATTAAGCGATCATGGAATTCATTGCCTGGTTGGTTCCTTGTGTTTGCATTTGTAGAGATTTTATCTTATTTTGGGGCTGTCTTCCCTCACCCTGAAAAGTCGGGCGTCGGACCTGTTTCTAATGCTAATTTCAATCTGAGGGGCTTTTTCAAACACAGCTATCAAACCACACCGGCCTCAGGCCACCTAATGGAGGCTTGCTATTATGCTAAGCACCCCACCTGCACGCAGTGTCTCCAGTTTTGAAACCTTAAACTATTCTGCTTAACTCAAGGAGCAGGACAAATAGAATTAAACTGGGCAGAAAAGATTGACTAGCTGGATAGCATATGTTATAAAACAAGCTTCATTTTGGTGGTAATGGTTTAAGCTGAAATAAAATTGTGGAAGCATTTATATCAGTCTTTGTGGCTTTATCTCAGAATGGATATATGTACATAGACACATATGTGTTTTTCTTCCTTGATATAGAATTACAAACTTTGTTGCTGTAAGTCTCCTGGACTCTTCAATATTTTCAAAGAAAAGATTCTGGTCTGAGAAGTAGCCATCCACTTTACAAAATAGTGTTGCTAGATTATTAAAGATCCAGAGAAATGAAAACATTTTCACAGGCGTTTGAAAAATAAAAACAATGTTTAAGTAGTTGTTTTAGAATTTTGGAAGTATCGATTCTGTTCGCTACTGAATGTTGAATAAAGAAGATTTAAAAATCAACAGCCTTGCCCTTTGATGCCCAAGAAATGGAGGAGAGTTTGCGTGTGTAGCGATGCAGCTGGTCATCACACAGGCCAGAGACACATTCCTGCCCAGGGGCTTTGCTGCGAGATGCGGCCGGATTACTGGCAGTATTTGTTCAGCCCACCTGTTGTACTGTGGATTCTCTGTTTGATTTAAACACTAGGATGTGAGCTTAACATACTCTCCGCCCAGTGACACACCCGCCACGGCCCTAGAAGTCTGGGGTGCTTATTGGTGTGCGCTGCTGAGGGGTTATTTGTTGTTTTTTGTTTTTACTTTTGTTTTGCTCTGTTTGTAAATCAAGGGAGCCCATTTTATGTGCTAGAAAGGTCCTTGGGTTGAAGCTTGAGAAAAGAAGAGACGCGCAGGCCTGCTTGCTCTCCATAGAAGCCCAGCTCACAATTTCCCTTTCTGGCCATTGTCTAAGGGAGTGGGATGAGAAAGGTGCCCTCAGGCCCACGGGACAGCGGCTCGCATTAGCATGTGTTCAGGGGAAGCATTTACTCTGCTCACCTGTCTGGCAGGTTTTTCCTGGGTGGAATCCTGCAAGGCTGCCAGGAGCCGTGGCTCCTGGAACAGCGGCCGTGGGTCCCTGCGCCCAGCTGCCCCTCCCTCCCCTGAGAGTGGGGCCTGGGCCCTGGGAGGAGCCGCCACCCCCAGTCCCCGGAATGCCCGACCTCGCCACCCTTGGGGTGGCTGGGGAGTTGACCTTCAGGGAAAGTGCCTCGTGAATTGCTTGAGGAGCCCTATTCTTCCGAGAGCTGCAGATGAAAAGTGCATTCACGGAAACACGCTCCTTTGTTGCAAGAGGAAAGAAAGAAGGCCTGTGTGGCTGCCTTTAAGGAAGGGGTTTTTCGATTCCCTGGAATGTGGGGCCTTGTGAGGAATGGGCAGGCATTTAGGACGAAGATTAAAGTGCATTTGGTCCCTTTACAAAGGGTGGCTCTCCTAAGCTGCCATCCTTCCCCTCCACTCCTGGCCAGACCGCCAGCCAGCTCCACCCCGTGCAGAGCTGGTGCCCACGGCGCCTCAGGCCTGACCAGCCAAAGCCTTGAAACATTAGCTTCGGAAACGCTTCTCACTCCTTTTTATCTCGAAGAAGTAAGGTTTAACAAAATAACTAAGCTGGACACAGTGATGTAAGACCTGGGCACTTCCCAAGTAAGAGAGCGATGAGAACATACCAACTTCACATTTCTCCTTATCGGTGTACTTGTAAAGAGTTTTTTAAAGCTAGTTTCTGTACTGATGATTTTACTGATTTTTCTCTATTTACTTTACATTCAAAGCTCCATTTATAACCTGCCAGTCTCAGCATTCCGTTAGTCCGCATTCAGTATTCCTCGAGGCCTCCCATTTGGACCGTACAGGACAGGAACCCGTTCTGTCATTTAACGCTGTGGGATGTGATCAGTCTTGTAAATTAATCATGAGGTTCTGTTCCCTGATTTTTTTTCATTGCATTTTAATTTCATTTAACACGTTTTAATGCTACAGTAACTTAATTCTTCATTGTTAACACGATACCCTAATTTTGTAGACATATTCTGTAATCCTACAGGGAGTGTAACATCTGGAGATGATGTGAAGGACACAGTAGGAAGTGAGTGGGGGCTCCACTCCATGAGGGTGTGCAGCCCAAAGTCAGTGGCCAGCGGAACTGCACTCACTCGTTTGTGCTATGAGTGCGTTCACTCACAGGAATGCCTCAGTGCACCCAGAGCCAGACTCTCCAAGGATGTCTCCATGGCAACGACCCTGCCACTCAGTGCATCATTTTGCCAAGAGATCTGGCCAGAGAAAATCTAGATGTGGTGGGTGTATTTGTTTCTGCACCCAAACAAAAACTTGTTGAAATTTTCCTATAGGAATTCATTTTGAAGGATCATTACCCTGATCAATTATTGACCAGTGATTTCCCCGGCTCAGCTACCAGCCAGTCCCTGTGTCCTCCTCTTGCCTCCAGAGCCTCAGTTGTCCACTGTTATTTAAAGAGGCGGTGGTTGAATTGGAGTGTTCTGTGCCTGTGTGGGTGGGGATTTGGCTGCGTCCTCTGTGTGAGGGATACATTGTAAATTATGTTGATGTATTTAATGGTGATTGCCTTCTGGTGATTGTATTCCACTTTGATTTTGTGATAAACTTTCGCTATATATATGTTTCTTCCTTTTTATGCATTTATTAAACATTTTAACAGACCGAGGATGGTGTACTAATTGCATGTGCATTTTTTAAGTTGTCTTTTCTGGTGTCCCTCCCTTACTAAGTACATTTGTTACTGGCATTTTCGGGGCCTCCTGATGGACCAACCAGCAAGTGAGTCTGAGGGCTGAGCGCCGGCCATTCCTGCACCCGGAGGTCAGTTTCTCGCTCGTTGCTTTTACACACACAGACATTTCGTTCTTTGCTCTCCACTGACAGCTCGGTCCCAGTCTCTCCATTATGTCTGTTCTAGTTTTGATGCTTCTCTCAAAGCGCCGTCCTGCAAGTCTTTGGGGAAGCATGTCTGGGACACAGTGTGCTCAACAGCGTTTACTGGACGGTTGAGCGCACAGAGACCGGCCCCTCCTGCGGTCCCTGGGAGGGTGCGTGTGAAGGGTGTCAGAGAAACCCTCGAGAATTGGAAGGTCAAGGTGGGCTGGCTCTTCTTAAGAATGCCAGTGCGTGTATAAGATGAAGGGTAAGCTGGGGTCACTGATAAACTAGGCGTAAAAGCAGAGCTATGCAATTCACTTTGATCTGTCTTCCATTCATCTGTGTAACACATCTTCCCAGCACACCCTCGGACTAACTCCTCTGCTCTTCAACTCATTTCCATTTTACGGCGTTCCTTTCCATCGCCATTGATTTCCCTTTTGGTAAAAGGATCAGCCATTTGGTAACAGGCAATTCTAATGGGTTGATGAAGAGCTTAGTTCAACATCCGAGAAAAACATCTTCGTTAGGGAGAGAACCACTCGCCAGAGCTCGCGTAGAGCCCACTAAGGAATTGACTTAATCTATGAGAACTGAGAAATCTCTCATCAAACTCTGGTCTAATGTGTTCTCTCAGCGTTTTCCATTATGTCTGTCACCACATTCTCAAATGCTCTGAGATCATCCTTCTTCATAAAAAATAGTCAAAAGGGAGAATAAAACTAAAGAAAAACGAACTCTTCCAAGGGAGCCACACACACGATTTCTATAAGAGGCTCTTCCTGCCTCTGTCTCCCCAGCTCTTGTTGGGGCACAGCCCTCCTATTGCGTTGCTCATATTCCCGCTTCTTCTCCTGAAGAAACTCTGCTTTTCTGATCAGGCTGAGCATGTGTCCACATGAGGTGTGGAGCATCCCTCTGCCGCTCACACCGTGGGAGGAAAGCTTGTCGTCCCTCTCCCGGCCCCTGCTGGGAGGGCAGGCTGCCCACGAGGGCAGGGGGACCTTGTGCTGCTGTAAGCCGGTCGGTTCCCCGGGGGCCGGCCCCTGTCTCAGTGCTGCGGGCTCCCTCTGCGCCAGCCCCTGTCTGCCGCACACCAGGAAGTCTGGGTGTGACAAGAGAGGGGGCTTCACACCGGCCCCCCAGAGCTGCCTGCAGATGTCTCAAAGAGATGATCCTCTTCATTAAGGAGCGACATTGCCTCAAATCGAAGGAAAATAAATTAGAAAATTCTTTGCCTTTTGACCACGTATATAAGGTGGACTTGCCCATACTCTCCCTGGGAGGGCGTCCCTCCCTGTGGGGACAACCAGGCTTTATCAGAGGGAGACCACCACAGGCTCACCCCCTGAGATGTACTGTAAAATAAGTACTCAGTTGTCTTACCCTGTTAAGTACCCACGACCAGGAAGTAAAGGCACCAGCACTTCCCGCTGGTGTGGAAATCGCCTCTGTGCAGAGAATGGATCATGAGTCAGTCGTATAGCGAAGCCCACACTCACCACAGAATTGCCTCCCGACCCCTGGTCTGTTCACGTTACAATTATGTTTCTAGAATGCAATAACAGTTTTCTGTGTCATAACGACTGTTTATTTCCGTGCATAACAAGCTGTTACCCTGTTTTTTTAAAAATCCATTTCATCTGTAGCCAATGCAAGACATCTCTTGAAACTTATTGCGTTGATTTTGTCTCTTGACCACTATAAAGCTTTGTCTCTCTCTATCTCTCTTCCTCTCTCTCTCTCTCTGTCTCCTTCTCTGTCTCTCTCGCTTCCTCTCTTACGCCATTTTGCTATGGAAGGTCAAAAGAGAGGAACTTTCTGCAGCCTGTTTACCTTGGTGCTGTAATAATATTCTCTCAACCACGCTGCTCACAGTGGGTTGATAAGGCAGGTGCTGTCTTATAGCTAATAGAATAGGGAAAACACTAAATTAGGAGCAAATCCTATTTAGGAAAATTTATAACAAGAGAGAGAAGGTTAGTGCATAGCTCACGTCAAGGAATATTAAGTTCCTGTTAATATTAAACTCCTGAACCTCACCAGCAGCAAGGAAGAATGTCTGTGACAAAGTGTAACTTCCAGTGGTTGCTGACGATTTTGAGCACTCTGGTGCCCTTAAAATGAGGTCCTCATGCTCCAGAAAAAAACCTGAAAACGCCCACAGTGAGAGCCACGCTCACCTCCGGAGCAGGAGCATTTCCACTTGTGAATCCAGTACAGAAGCTGGCACAGTGGCTGCAAAAGAAAAAAATAAATAAAGCTCCACAAATAAAACTGAGTGTGAAATGGATCTATTCCGTGACAGACTTCAAAGAGCCCTCGGCTCCTCCCATCAGCCAGGAGAGGCTTTCTTTACTGCTCAGAAACCTTGCGTCTGGTGCCTGCTACAATTTTAAGAAAATCTGGTCACGTAATTAGGTACAGGGCTCCAGAACAGATTCTAAAGGAAAGAATTTTTCCTAAACCCTTCCTCTTGTTCCTTTTCTTCTGACGTCCATCCGTCTGTCCTAGGGGCTCACGCCGCCATCTTCTCCTTCCCGGTGTCCCTAACCCCTGGCCTCTCACTGGTCCATCACCCACCTGTCTTCACACGCCCCTCAACCTCTAATCTTCATCCTCCACTTCCCCCTCCTTGCTGCCTGGGGTCCTGCCAAGCCAGGTCAGGACAGGACATTGCTGGAGGACTTGGGGCTCTGCCAGCGTGCCGTGTGGACTCAAATGGCCACTCTGTGTCCCTCTGGCAGGTACCCTGGCTCAAGCAGAGCAGGAGCCCTCTGCCCTCTCATGCCCACAGCCGGCCCGGGCTGTGCAACATGTACAAGGTAAGACGCCGCCCTGGCCGCTCCTCCTCAGGGTCACACTGCGAGCATGGTTGCCTGCCATCCTCGGTCAACGCAGGTGGTGTCCGGGGCACGGTCCTGGCCAAGGGGCATTTGTAGGTCATGTTTGGGAAAGCGAGTGGGGCAGCTCTAAGGGAAAGCAAACAAAGGAAAATGTTCGAAGACAGAAAAAACCCTCAAGAGGGATGCCAGGGAGCTGCCTTTGATTCCTGACCCCATGTGGGAGCCCACGCAGAAGAGCCGGGAAGGGCCGGCTGCAGGGTCGGGGCAGCGACAAGCTCACGCGAGCCTGCTGGGCCACAGGCAGTGGGCAGCACTGGCCTTGGAAAGGTGGCCTGTGACCGTGGCCTTGACCTGCCTGTGTTCGTGTCTTCTTTGAAAACCAGTGCCTAACAGATAGTGTGCGCTCACCAAACACTAGTTGAATTAAACTCTTAGATGACGTGCTCTTGGGAGGTCCGGCCGTCACTCACATCCTCCCCTGAGCTCGGCCGAGCCTCCCTTGGGATGGAGGACAGGCGCTGTGATCTGTCCTCCATTTCCCAGGCAGAGGCTGCTTCCTAGTGCTGGGGACCTCCAGGCGACTGTGCAGAGGGCAGGGGGGAACCAGGAAAGGAAGGACCCCAGAGGAGTCCCTAAGTCCCCCGGGAGTCACACCGCTGCTCACGCCTTGCGGGCGGCCGCCACACGAGCCGGTCTGTGGGTCTGTGCTTCCAGATCAGGGCAGGCTCTGGGCCTGGGCGCCTGGCTTCTGGAACCTGGGAAAATGCAAAGTGTTGAAAGCACATGCTTGAACATGGAAATAGCGAGAGCGTCGCTCTGACACGTTCGACTGAGTCCTGAGGTTTGGGGGTGGGTGGGGCCTGAAGAATTGTGATGGTGCGCGGCTGGCTTCAGGAGAAGGGGTTGTCCCCGAAGCTGCAGTGTCCTGACTCTCCATCCCGGAGAGCCTCAGCGGGGTGGGGGACGCTGCTCTGAGAGCCTGCATTTCTCCTGAGTCGTGTCCAGCTGGAGTCACCGTGCTTGCTTTTTGAAGAGCTCTCTTGGCGGCTCTTTATTTAAAGCAAACACCTCCACCCCAGGAAGTTAGGGAGGGCCCCTGACGGCCTGGGAGGCGCATTTCCCTGGGACACTCAGGCCCGGTTGGGACTCCAGCCGCAGTGAAGCCAGCCGGAAGCATCGGTGCCCTCCCGGGAGGGGCCCCTGCGGTCCCCAGGCTGTGAGAGGCGGTGCTGGGCCTGAAGGCACACTGTCATCCTGCAACAGCCAGTGCTCTGTGTGTGCAAGGGGACAGCAAAGGATGGGCAAAGTTGCCGACTTTTGAAGCCCCAAAAGGTGGCCACTTGCTCCCTTCATCCTGAAGCCACTGGCCGCCTGCCTACCCTATTCTCTCCACTGGAGACACATTGCCATGAGAAAGCAGACCCGCTCCACGGAGAGGCAGAGACCTTGCCAGGAATCCCCGGACCCAAAGCAGAGTGGGAGGGGCTTTGGTGTTCAGGTGATAATAAGAAATTTTCAACAGAATGTTCCATTTTTCTCTGTTAAAAAATCTTTTGGTGAAGGAAAAGGAGCACCCCTGTCCCCCACGTCTTCATCCCAGACTGACTTTTGTGCATACGTTTGAAAATCTGGCCAAAAATAACAAGTATTCTGCACAATGCCATCTGTGTGGCCGCCCGAGATTGGACCTCCAGTGGACACATCGTGGGTACACAGGACACACTGTGGTTTCCAATAACAGGCTCTTTGCGTTTACATTTGTTCAGTTATGGACACCCCATTCTGCTCCAGCTAGGATGTGGACCGGCCTGCCAGAACATACACTGGGAGGATGTTAAAACACGTAAAGAAGCACCAGAGGGCCGTGTGCCTGTACGTGCATGGTATCTATGTGTCCGCTGACTGAAGGGAAATCGAAGACAGGCGTGAGGTGAAACCACAGGCAAAGTTGCTACACAGACGCACGCCGACGGGCTCCCCAAAATTGTTACCGATGGCAATGAGCTCTTCAAGGACCATATTCCAAACATGGAGGCCTCTCAGTAGGCCCCCTGGACAGGGCACAGCCGTGCCTGATGCTTCCGGGAGGCGATGCTGCACTGGCTGAGCACAGAGCGGGCAGGGGGGCTCCCTCCGGGACAGGGCATCTCCAGGCCGCACGGCCACGCGTTCCCATTCTGAGTGCGAGGAGAAGCCAGGGGCGTCTCTCTCCTCTCTGAGAAAGAGCTTTTGATTATTTTGAGTGTCTTCCTCCAGCACTTTGGGATTCTTTATAATTTCAAGAAGAGAGTTATGTTTATTAGAGAGTAGATTTAATGGCACCCGCCACAGGAAAAGGATTGCAAGGGCCAGGTTGCACTTAGTGGTTTTAAAATGCACTTGTGGTCCAAGATTGTACAACAAAGCACACTTAAAATAGGCCCACAGAGGAGAGAAAAGCCGACGGGCGAAGCCACCAGCTGAACAGCTGTCTCACAGCGCTGGAACTAATGGTGTCGGGCCGTGTGACTCAGACCCGAAAACTTCCTTCTTCCCCTGTGGTTCGGAGAGTCCAAAGGTGTCGATGGACAATGGCGAGCTGACGTTCTGTACCCTGACCTTGCAGACACTCACTCCTCCTTCTCTCTGCCTCTCTCTGTGTCTCTGTCTCTCTCCCTCTCTTCCTGCAAATATACCATGACGGGTAAGAAGACCCTCCAACTGTGAAATCGGAGGTAACATCAAAGAACAAACTGTTCCAGTGCTGTCGATGGTTTCTCAAGAACCAGACTCCTCCCTAGGAATTCTTCGATTCCAGGAGACTGGACGCTTTTCTTAGGACGAACACAGTGCTCAGTTCCTCAGGGGATCGACCATGACTGCGGAAGGCAGGGAGGGGGCACAGTAAACAAATAAAATAGTGTTTGAGAACCCAAAAGCAAGTTGGAAAAGCAAGAATCCCAAGGGAGAAACAAGGAGTAAAATATACCATGGGGGAAGACAACTCCGTGAGAATAGAGGCAATCCCTTTTTCTTCAGTGCCCTCATGGGTCTGCCCTGCCGCCTTGCCCTCAGCGTCAGCCCCATCTCAGCCTCTGAGCCCCAGGTGGGCGCTGCGTAGACGCGCTGGACCACTGAGCTCGAAGAGCACGTGGTGCGGGGATGGAAGGAGCTGGAAGGTGCCCAGAGCAGGGTGCAGGGTGCTGTCAGCCGCACAGAGCCTCACTCAGGGCCCCTCAGTCCCCCTTCCCCCATCCCGTTTCTGCCCCGTCGGGGCCCCTGGAGAGGAGCAGCAAGGGGAAAGCCTCCGCCTCTGATTGCCACCAAACCACTGTTAGTGGTTCCTTTGAAAGTCCACCTGCCTCCATGGCCGCAGACCACGGTCCTTGCTGGCCTGGAGAGGACACTGGCTGGCCACCTGGCCGCTGAGGGCACCCACAGAGGTGCCCAAAGATGTTCTCCCTGTTTCTGAACCCCTGACAGCCCTGGCACGCTAGGGCTCAGAGAATCAGAGACACTTTGTCGGGTGGCAGAGCCGGAGAGAGAATCAACCCACATGTGTGGGTCTGAGTCTACTGCTTGGCCACCCCTCGTCTTCTCCGAGCTCCTGTCCTCATCTCTAACACAGCAGCAACAGCAAAGATGACCACCTGTCCCTCCAGGACCCTGGGGGTCCCGGGCCGAACGAGAGAGTTACGAGAGGCAAATACTCTGCGCCCAGTCCTGTGCAAACACAGGTCTAATCAAACCCCACCTGTCCGCGCGGACACCCAGCTATTGTGGAAAGATCCCGGTGACCCCATGGAGCCACTCAGAGGCGCAGCCTTGGCCCTTGGAGGCCCGGTTCCCCCTCTGCCACTCACCAGCTCCAACCTTTGGGCCACTGTGTTTCTGCTCTTGGGCCTCAGTTTCCTCAACTGTATAGTGAAAGTGTCACATTCAATGATTGCAAATACTTCTCTGAAGCCCAGACCCCACCGGTCTTGCCTTTAAGTCGGGAGGGGAAATGTCGTCGCCACCTGTGATCACACAGCTCTCGCCGTCCAGAAGTGATGGGGAGGAGGGCTCAGTGTGCGTCCGGTTTGTCGGAGGCTGTCCTGTTTGTGAGAAACAGCCACTAGTCTCCCAGGTGGGCCCATGCTGGAAGACCTTCCAGAGACTTCTCTGGAACTTCATCTCCAGGTTTTCTGAATCGGATTTCCACTTTCCAAATAAATGGCTCTGACCAGAGTGCAGCAATTTTGATGGCTGCATGTTTTGATGGGCCCTGTAGGTCCAGCCGTGGGGACCCAGAGCAGACCAAGTTCCCTGGGGAACCTGCCACTGCGGCCGGGAGGCGGGGCCAGCCGGCCACACCGTCCACCTCGGGGGCTGCTCCCGCTGAAGCAGCAGCCAGCCCTCGGCCTTCACCTGCTCAAGAGCCTCTTGCAACGTTCCTTCCCCAGGCGGTTTCTCAGACCCTGCCTGCCTTAAGCTGCTCGTCCACGTTCTGTGCCAGGAGGTAGTTGAATTCCAAGCCAAGAACGGGCACCTGGGCGACTGTTTGGGTGTATGCCTCCTTTGTGAAGTTAGCTTGACGTTTATGCTAAAAACAGCCTCCTACACCCTTTAGACACTGTGACGTCTTTAAAAATGGGTGCCTGGAAGCAAAGGAAAAAAATCAGAGTAGTTAAGGCCAACATCTAATCCCACTTCCCGCCATTTTGAAAGGAGACAGCAAAGAAGCCTCAAAAATGCCGCGTTCGAGGGAGCTGGCCCAGAGGCGTAAGTTCGCTCACTCCACTTCAGCCGCCCATGGTTCACCAGCCCGGATCCCGGGCACAGACCCACATACTGCTCATCAAGCTATACTGTGGTGGTGTCCCACACACAAACTCGAGGAAGATTGGTAGAGATGTTACCCCGGGCCAATGTCACATGGGCCAATCTTCCTCACCAAAAAAAAAAAAAAAAAAAAAGCCACATTCAGGAAGAACAGTTGGGCTCCAGTTTTGCTCTCA